CAGTGAATGAGGATAAAATCATATTTCATAATTCACTTGATTCCATATGTATGTAATATTCATGTAAAGTAGGTAATCGTACTCATAGTATGTTCGATTCCGCTCAATGCTAAAGTACAGTACATTACAACACTTGTATTCGACAGTAAGCTCAAGCAGAATACGTTCGAAATCTTGCTGGAATACACATTTTGAGTTATGCTTCGCCGTGAGTTCGAATCTATTTTGAATCGCTGCAATGGCTTGATGAAGTGTTCAAACCGTGTACCCATAGTTGTATTATCTCCATATTCTCGTAATTCAATAATTTACCAACATCTAAAACTGTTCATTGTAAATTCACTGTCATTAAGGCAGGTGAGGGTGACAGGAGATGATGATGACGGAAGGTGATGGTGACGGAAGGTGATGGTGACGCAAGGTGATGATGACGGAAGGTGGTGATGACGGGAGGTGATGATGACGGAATGTGATGATGATGATGACAGAAGGTGATGATGATGCAAGGTGATAGTGACAGGAGGTAATGGTGACAGGAAGTAATGGTGACGGGAGGTAATGGTGACGGGAGGTAATGGTGACAGGAGGTGCAACAATATTGGCTACATTGTCACTATCACCTTGACGCTTTACCTAGTCTCTCTCTCTCTCTCTCTCGCTCTCTAATTGGTCACTCCGGAGCCTTTGTTGTTGTCGTGTTGGTGTCTCCTTTGTTTATCATCTTTTTTGCTTTAGTCATGACTTTCCTCCGTCTCCTCTTTTCTCTTTCTTTCCCTGATCTGCTACACATTCAGAAAGAGGAGGTACATTATTATCTTCGTTCTATTTTCCTCTCGTAAATAAGAACTACCTAACCTAACCTAAAACATGCCTTCAGTACCTCGCAAGGCCACACTGATTTACACTTAACAGTTTTGGGCTTTGGTTAAATTAAGAGTATTTTGGGGCAAGACCGTTCGTAGGCAGAGACAGACAGACAGACAGACAGACAGACAGAGAGAGAGACAAGGGTATTAGCATATATTCATTCCATATAAGTAGCGAAGGATGACTCCCGGCTTATTATTACAGGCACCAAACGAGCGATAAACACCTACTTATTACACCAAACGATAGATCAACTCACAGACTAGTAGTAGAGGAGTCAAGCCTTACAGTGACCTGGTAAGCTGAGTGTCCACTAGACCAAAACGCACTACCGAGTTTCTCATTGTCATGGGTGTAGAAGATGAGTTACAACGAGACTATTATATACTCAGGTGCGTATACATTGCCAGGTAGGTTAGATTACCACATCAATTAGGGGAGAGAGGGAGGCAGTGAGGTGTGGTGGACGAAGGTAAGGAACCGCGACGAATCAGGTGTGTAGAAGGGAGGGGCCAATTATCATATATACCTCGTTACCGCCGAGGTAAAGAGGGAGTAGGGAAGGCATGATGAAAGGGGAGAATTGTTGGGGAGGAAGGGATTGACTCGTGATACGGAGATGGGGATGAGGGAGGAGGAGGCGGAGGGGATTAGGGAAAATAAATGAACGTGTGGGAAAATGCAGACGTATAGAAATGGGACAGAGATGGGAGAGAAAAACGGGGACAGATAAAGGGAAGATGAAACAGAAGATATGAATATAGTATGGAGGAGAGGAGGGGGGGGAGAGAGTGATGCAGCAATTATATAATTATTTAAAGCCAGTATCTCACACCTCACAGTAACCTGACCTGACCTGACCTGACTTGACCTACTGTAACCTGGTGATGATGTCACGACATTTGGAGACGACGTCACAGTAGTTGGTCAAATGAATCCCAACCTGACCTTACCTACCATTGCGCGCGCGCGCGCGTGTGTGCGTGCGTGCGTGTGTGTGTGTGTTGCCCCTTGTGTAACGAGGATGGCTGGCCCAAGGGCCACGGAGGCGTGAATTTGTTTAAGGTGTAGAAGCTGTCGCCAACACAATAAGTACATCCTACGTTAACGAGCTGCATGACCCAGTGTCAAGGAATAGTCCGAGAAGACCGGACAACTCGCCAACTGCACTGGCTAACCATTACCCCGGAACACGATCCACAAATCGATTAACATCCAGGATCCCAATTACTGCTGGGTAGACAGAGACAAATGGGGTAAAGAAACTTGTCCATAGTTTCACCCTGCCCGGGGATGGTACCCGGGTCCGCTCGCTTGCGAGGCGAGCCTGTATGTGTGTTTGTGTGTGTGTATACGCACGTGTTTATTGTGTGCATACGCCAGTGTGTATGATCTGTGTGTGTTTGCATATCACCATTTTCTTACGTAAAGGCCCGTCCACGTACGCTGGTTGACGCACACAAGCATGATAGCAACTCACAGTTGGCGCACTTCCGCTCCTCCCCAGCATCTCCTCCTCCACCTCGTACAGAGAAAGTCTCTTATTGTGCTCATCTCTCTCCCTCAAGCAACACAGTGCTCACTCCTCACCTGTCGTAAGGCACAAACTGTCACTCTCCAGCTCGGGGCCTCCCACCCAACGCTGTCATTACACTGTGAACGCGGGCCTGAGCCAAGCCTGGAGCTGGTGGTCCCATTGTTGTGTCCGTCTGTGTGTTGCTGTCTAGATTTCTCTTTCTCTGTCTGTCAATCTGTCTTATGTTTAATTAATTTTATTTCTCTCTTCTTCTGTCTATGTTTTTTATGTAAATGACACCGATTATTCTCTTGCGTCCTCTTCATCTTGGTTGTGTCTGTCTGTGTCTCACGTGTCATCAACTGTTGTCACGTTAGTTTATGTCTCCTAAATAATGATAACAGTTATAATGTCTGTGTTTCTGTGTAGCATTATAATGTTTGTAATATTCTTAAGCGACTTCTTCTTTATTATCTTTACTTATTTGAAGAAACAAAAACAGAAATATATCATTGGTGTCATTAGTTTTACGTATTCTTTGCCTTTGATGTGTGTGTGCGTGCGTGTGTGTGTGTGTGTGTGTGTGTGTGTGTGTGTGTGTAAATGGAGAACAGCTTAGGAAGACAAACAGTAAAAACAGCCATAAACTCGTAACGAGACAATTAAATAAAACCAGCTCGTACACCACCCACCCCTCCCCCACACACACCAAATCTATAACAATAATTTACACCGTATGCATCTATAAATTCTACTTCTATATCTTCTTCTCTATCTATACCTCTATCTAACCTAACCTAATAGGTATGAAGTTTTTACTACCACAAATGTTCCAGGTTGTTAGATACATAAGTGTAATAAGTGGGGGTAATTTTCCACGCCAGGAGGAGGAGGGGGAAGAGGAGGTGGAGGAGGAGGAAGACGTGACTGACATTCCAAGCTGATATTTAGAGCTGTAGCTATACGAGAAGAAGATGCGCCACTTAATTACACCTTCGTCAGTAGTTTTTTTACACAGTGGGTGGTGATATGAAGTGGCGAGTCGAAGAACTGGTATTTCACACATGGACGTGAGAGAGAGAGGCATCATCATTACACGCCTGTTAATCTATAGGCCTCATTCCTATTTCGCTTTTGTCACTTCTATTTTAATAAGACTCGTATTCAAGCTTTATATACCGTAGTACGAGCATGATAATATGATACACAAGTAAAGCCAAAGACTTATAAGAGGAAATATAATCAAACTCGTGTTTATATTAATTTAAAGCGTAATAACTGGGCCAGAGATTTCACAGTAGTTGGGCAATATTTGTGCCAAGCCGTTCGTTCGTTCTACTTGAATTCTGTCACGCTATGCCCCACCCCACCCCACCCCACCCCACCCGACCCCACCCCACCCCCACCCCTCACCCGACCCCACCCCACCCCACCCTTCTCTCATGACAAACTACTGCCACACTCCACACTTCACACATCACGCCTCATACATCATTATTTTTTACACGTCACACTTCACATTCTACGTATCATACCTCATACTCCACATATCATGTCTCATACTTCACACACATTTACACTCCACACATTACACTCCACATTCCACACCCCACACATCACACTCCACACATCACACTCCTTACATCACACTCCGCACATCACAGTCCGCACATCACACTCCACACATCACTCATTACACTCCACGCATCACATTCCACACATTACACTCCACACTTAGTAGGATAAGATTAAAGACAAGAATAAATTACTCTACAAAACAATCCCGTGTAGCTCCTAACGTGTCACGGAAGATGAGTGAGTCTCAATGTACTTCTATCTGGCTCCTGTATCATCACTCTCAGAGCTCTCCCACATTACCTAACACCTCAGTGGCTCGGATGACTTTATGGGCTGAAGATGGTATGTTATTTTCGTCTTTTATAAGGTGTGTTGGTGTGTGTGTGTTGGTGTGTGTGTGTGTGTGTGTGTGTGTGTGTGTGTGGTCCCATTAACAAAATATTCGGTATTATCAAGTAGAATCAAGTCCACAAGTTAAAAAGCTACACATAAAACGTCTACATTTGAGATAACCCTTTGACATCATAAAGTAATTTGTTCAGATTTGGGAGATAAAAACAGTAACACCCTTTTTTTTTGTTCCTTCGGTTTCCATTACGAATTTTTTGGTGATGTATAAAGTGAAAACCAAGGGTGGAAGGATTGAACATTCTAGGTAGGGGAAAGGGGAAGACAGGTGGGGATGGGGAAGAGATTTGAGGGGAGATGGGAGGGGAGATGGGAGGGGAGATTTGAGGGGAGATGGGAGGGGAGATGGCGTGTTTAAAGGGTTAAGACAGTAGGGAAGGGATGTGATTGATGTATTTCAGGTGTTGTGTGTCTTGATCCTTATTGTGTGTTAGGTCAGGTTCTTTTCTTAATATATTTTGTCATGTCAACTGAGTTATATGTAAGGGGAACATTTTTAGTTGCCCCGTAATAGTACGAATTTGGTTAAAGGAATTCCAGGGACTCATATCTGTACTACAAAACTATATTCATTAAATCCTTGCAAATGTATTCTTGTGTTGTTGAATCTAATCTCAGAATAATGTTTCAGAGTGTGGCATCAGCAGGTTCAATAGACACAGACAACCTCGATGGCCGGGTGATGACGCTACTATCTACAGTGAAGGTGACGAGCTTGTCCTTCACGACCTAGTGGAGGACAGCCAACCATACTTCGGGGACGTAACAGACAGCAGCCAACCTGACGAAGGAGACTCAGAGAGAAACACGACAGAACGTTCACGGACCAACAACCGCATGATGGTGTTCGAGGACAGGTCGACAGGTCGTATTGTGGGCGGGAGGGAGAGCAAGCAAGGAGCCTGGCCCTGGCAGGTGATGGCCGAATGTTTACCTCTCACGTGTGTTAGGTTAGGTTAGGTTAGGTTAGGTTGAGTTGTGCTCAGAAATGTCTTGGAAATTCTTAAACTATAAAGTACATACGTAGACGCTCTACAACTCCGAACTCTCCTGAGAAATTCAATGACATTATCACTACCACACACACACACACACACACACACACACACACACACACACACACACAAACAATCATCGTTTATGTTTGTTCTGGCTTGATTATTGTTGAATGTGTGATAGCTTACTGGACTGACTGACAGACTAACCCAGTTCCCTACAGCGACGATGAGTTAGGTGTTTTACGGAGCTCTTCACACGGGTAAATTCTTCAATGACTTTTGTGAGAGTCACACCATATACGCCAGATACTGAACACGTTTCCATTAACTACGTGAGCGAACGAACATGTACCTCACCTAGACACTATTTATCATCAATTCATTTCAGTATAATTTCCTTGAACGTTACTAAATGAAAATAGATGATAATTAGAAGCAGCAAAGACTTTTTTTTAATAGAATTTGTTAACTTAATCTCATCAGTCCACCATCACATAACAGTGGTATTTTGTGAGGCATTTTATCATAATCTTATGGTTCAGAGCCAAGTCTTCCACTTCACAGATAAACATAGAGCAACTTTCAGAGTCATGTGAGCTCCCTGATGCACCACTGTTGTCATCTGTAGGCAGCCAATGTTGGTGTGAGATTTGGCCTCCTCAACGGTACAAAAATAAACAAAAAAACAGACCACATACCGATAATAACAAACCCAACCAGAAATCTCCCTTCCAGCATTTCACAATTAACCTAACCTAACCTAACCTACCAGAAACCTTTCCTCCAGCGCTTCACAATCATAGAAACATTTCACTGTACTCTCACTGTTCTGTAGAGGCTTCTTCACTGTTATGATGAACTACACACTAATAGCACTACCACGCACCCATCATCAGCCTACGAGAACATACCTTGACCAGTTGTTTAATGACCAGCTGTGTATGTAACAGATGGTCTGTATATGATGTTACATTGGCACATTTATCGCTTCATGTGACATTGCATTGTTACATCTGTGGTGTCATTCATGTTTATAGTGTTACAGCTGTTATTTTCTTGAGAGAGAGAGAGAGAGAGAGAGAGAGAGAGAGAGAGAGGTCACCTGTGTAGTGTGTTTGCAGGTGTCGCTACAGCTGGTACACCCTCGCTGGGGGAGGATCGGACACTGGTGTGGAGGCGTCCTTATTGACCAGCGCTGGGTCGTCACTGCCGCCCACTGCATCAACAAGTACGTAGTCCCCTTACCTCCCCTAGTACGTAGTCCCCTTACCTCCCCAAGTACGTAGTCCTCTTACCTCCCCAAGTACGTAGTCCCCTTACCTCCCCTAGTACGTAGTCCCCTTACCTCCCCAAGTACGTAGTCCCCTTACCTCCCCTAGTACGTAATCCCCTTACCTCCCCTAGCACGTAGTCCCCTTACCTCCCCTAGTACGTAATCCCCTTACCTCCCCTAGCACGTAGTCCCCTTACTTTGACTGTGTGGAACATTTTCCCTTCACTCGAAATACTGCACTCCTTTATACCGTCTCTCACAAATATTATAATAATAATAATAATAATAATAATAATAATAATAATAATAACTAATCAAAATAATAAAAAATATAAAAATTATTAAACAAAAATATAACACTACTATTAAAAAAAATAATAATTACGTTAATAATGATGATGATATTAATAATAATAACAAAGGACCACAAATAAAAACAAAATTAGAAGGGAAGATCAATAGCGAGAAACAATATATGTATGTTGTGTTGTCAAAGGTAAGAGAAACAATTGAGACCCTACAATTGTGTGTAAATGAGGCAGAAATTCATATCAGCAACCTGGGACTTGGTCACAGTTTTCGTGATGCCATATGGCAGCAGGGTCTACCATTAGACAACACATTATGCTTCCAATATCATCCCAGTCCTGTTTGGTAGCTGCCTGTTACCTTCGAACGTTTTAAAATCTTTTAAGAAGTCTTCTATTTTGCACTAAAATTTGTAATGGCGTCATTTACTTACATTTATATACACTGGCAGACATTATTGTTATTGCACACACTGTTTAGAGTGTACTCCAGCTAATTTTAATTAATTGTGTAAACCATCAATGTTTTTCTAACCAAATTTTGCGTCATCCGTAACGTCTCTTCTTGATTTCTATCACTTACGCTTTCTTTTGTTCACCTAAACGACTATTATGGTCAGCTGACTAAGAACCGAGCAGGACAGACACACCAGCTCACTTTTTAAGGTGAGACTTCCCAGACTAATATTTCTGAGACAAACATATTTAAAAAAAATGTAAAGCTACTTCAGTCTTTACCTTAAGTTATCAAGTAAGAGTTTGATCACAATGTTTCTGTGATTATGATTAAATTTAGAAAACATTATATCATAAATTAGTACTGAATTATTTGTTGCTAATTTGTGAGTGTAGATAACTAAGTTCTTATGGAACATAACTATAATTTATTACCACTTCAGTTTTTCTTCCAGAGGAACATTTAAGTGTTTTACTCATGCAACATGTTATATATATATATATATATATATATATATATATATATATATATATATATATATATATATATATATATATATATATATATATATATATATATATATATATATATATATATGTAAATAGTGAGTAAAAGTTACAATATTTCATCAAAATTAAGCTGTTCTTAAAGATCTCTGTAAAGTTATTGAACAGCCGTAATCCAGCTAATGTTTGCAACGTCTTGAATTAGCTTTGAACGCAATGTGGATGACGTTCCTCATACAAATAAGTAAATCTGTTAAGGATCTGGTAATATTATCAGCTCTAATTTATCATCATAGAAAGATGAATATAGTCACACACACACACACACTTGTCCTGAGCATGACACAGACAACATCAACACACGTGTAATGACCTAACCTAAACTTGACACTTAAATGATCGAGACGACAGTATTTGACAATATTAGGTTCACAATATTGTATACAGACCTACAGTATTTTCAATATAATATAACCCGACCCATTCTCTTCTTTCAGAGCAGAGCTTGAGTTTCATGACCACTTTAACAACCTTTGTCATGTAATAGATCACCGCGAGTCTTGTAACAAGAGCACCAAAAGTCCCAAATAAATAAATATAAATCAGTATTTCAAACACATAAATCATTTCCAAATGTCTAGGTTAGCAAAAAAAAAAAAATCTTAAATTGCGTGCACTGTAACAAGTTTCTATAACAAAGTACTGTATATATAATTCCATGCATGTTACTGTTGACTTTATAATGATCCTCCACAACCCACAACATGTTTCCTGTCACAATATTAGGTTGTAGTTTCTTTTATCAGTGTAAATAAACTTTTCATCTATACAGAATTTTTAAGGGTAAAGGCTTTGGTTACTCGGTCTTCAGAGCAAAAAATTTCCATCACTTACACTTTATCTTGAATAATTTATATAACAGCGGAGAAACTTTGTGAAAATAAACTTGTAATTTCTGAAGGATAGACCTGAGTTTGTTCCAAGGAGCTCTCTGTTCCTCTCTTCGCTTACTTATCAATTCACTCCTCTCCCACCTCTCTCTCTCCCCTCCCCTCCCCCCCTCTCTCTCTCCTTTTACTTCCATCCCTATGTTAGGGTCTTCGTTAGCCTAAGGGTTTTATTATGCCAAAGGCTTCAGTCATTGTTAAAAGACACTTAATAAAATTTTTGATAGTCATTTAAGACATAACTGATATACTGTATACCTCACCAGCCCTGACAGTCCTTAGTTAAACAAAGAACGTGTACATGATTGAGCTCTGCGTGTAAGACCTTTATGGTGTGTGTGTGTGTGTGTGTGTGTGGTGGGAGACGTGAGGGTGAGGTGTGAAGACGAGAAGTGTTGCAGCCCGTTGTTCTCGCTGCCATACGGGCCACTGTGGACCGCCCTGGTTGGGGATTGGAAGCTCAGTGAGAAGGAGGAGAAGAATGATGCCATACAGCTCAAGGTGGAAAGAGTCGTCGTCCATGAACGGTTCAAGAAGTTCAACAATGACATAGGTGAGTCTGGGGGTTCTACGGTGCTCCTTTACAATCCCTTCTTGCAATTTAAGCCTCAAGTCAATGATACAGACGAGCATAGCGTTCTGTAACTACCATGGACAGTTCCGGCAGAAGGATTACATAAGAGAGGTAAGTGTGGAGGTCCTGTAATGATCTTTCTTAGGCTTGTTTTTAGTTTACGGCTCAATGGTATTACGGCAAATCTGACACCCACATGATGCTTCCTTGTTCACCTTCATTACGGTTCAGGATACAGTGACGATAAAGGTGAGTTTATGGTTGTATTATATTCTTTCATTAAGTTCCGGTGACATGAACAGTCATTATTCACTTTTGAAAGGCATTATTTACTCTTATTTTAATCACTTGCGAAATCATTCTCTCTTTTCAATACTGTAGGTGTTATGGTAACTTATTTAAGACAATTTAAATCTCCTCTCTCCCTTCATTGCTTCACCTTGAATGTATTTCTAAATGTTTCAACTCTTCAATTTCTCTTAGTGTTCAAATTCACCGTCACGTCAACTCCCGTCTTGGTACACCTCTGCATCACCACCTAGTGCCTCATACAGTCTGTTATAATTTCTAATACTTTTTGCATTTCACAATTTTGCTTAATCACTACAAGAGTAATATCATGTTAAGTGCAACACAAAGCTCTGGTCTCTGATTATGAAAGAAGGATCGGTTACGTTACAATTAGCCATGTTCTTATTATTGTCAAGTTTATGTCTGAGGGAGAGACTGATCACTGACTGAATTACTGACACAACTGACGTGACTGTTGGTGTTTATCACGAGATCTGTTTATCTCTGAGACCGCTAATAAGCTTAACACCCACCCAGCCCCCCCTCCCCCGCCTGCACACACATTCACAATAGAAGTAATAAAAATTTACAACATTGGAAAATTCATAAACAAGTACACAAACTTATACATACACCACAGCATCAACGCAAAAGCCATTGGTTACGACAATTCACAAGCTACTAGGAACAGGGAGGGGCTGACCTGAAAGTTTCCTTCCAGCAAGGCGTTCAGCTTCACCAAAACTGCTGCTGTGTGGCAAGTTGTTATGGGTGAGCATGACCGCTCTCATATGGACGGCCGTGAGGTTGTTCTCGGGGTCAACAACGTAGTGACTCACCACGAATTCAACGACTATCAAAATGACATCGGTAAGAGAGCCCTTACTTCCCATTCTTCTCCTTCACACACTGCCGAGGGTTACTGAGTCACCAGGCTGATACGCGAGTCTCTCTGCAGTGTCACAGAATGTCCTCCCACGACTCATGGCCTTCACAGCCTTTCCTTTCTTCACACATTATACTTCCCATTTTCTGAGTAGGAAAGAATCAAAGACAAAGTCTCAAATACAGTTATATCTTCTGCAGGTCGACATTTCTCCTAGAACTTGACATCCCTGTGATTCTCTCTTCTTCCTAGACTGTCTTCCATTACACATGTGATCGTCTTTACACTACTTCTTCCATCACTGTTTTGCATCCAAGGTACATAGGATGTACAGCGTCTGTGTTTGTCTGCAAGAGGTGATGTAAGGCTGTGAGGTGTGGGTGTTTGTTGTATGGTTGACCTAACCACTCGTGTCTGCCCCCAGCACTGCTCAAGCTGCCGCAGTTGTCAAACATGGCCTCCCTCGCCCTCACGCCCATCTGCCTGCCAGACACCGTTGAGCTACGAACCTTCTCCTTTGAGGGACTCAGATGTTATGCCACAGGCTGGGGGAGGAAACACACTGAGGGAACCCTCCATGGCCATCTCCAGGAGATCAAGGTGCCCGTATTACCACCAAGCAAGTGTGCTCACGCCTACAACACTTCCCAGTTTGGCTTTGTAAAGCTGAGTGATTCTCACCTGTGTGCGGGGGTGCTGGACGGGTCAACAGGGACCTGTGTCGTAAGTATTACAAGAGGCGTGGGCGTGAGTGGTAAGGGGGCCATCTGTACAGCAGGAAGAAGCAACAGTAGTGCAGTTGGGGCGCTGTTGGTGGTGGGCACAACATTTCTACATGCTAACCGCACTTGTCTGTCTATATTTACATAATATGTGCATGCATCTTTGGGTACACAAAAAGGTAATGCAGGTTGCTGATAGCGCTGACGTGACGTGTGTTGCAGCCATGATGAAACTTCGTGAAGATGTTGTCTACACCGACCACATCCAGCCAATATGCCTGCCCGACACAGCCCCTTTGGATAGCGAGACGTTTCTGGGAATCAAGTGTGTGGCCACGGGTTGGGGGATGAGAATCCAAGGCGCCATGCTGGAGAACCGCTTGAAGGAAGTGACAGTACCGGTGGTGAACAACAGCCACTGCGTCAAGCTGTACGGCATGATGCACAATATACCAGTAAAGAAGTACCACATGTGCGCTGGGCAGACACAAGGCCAAGGACTGGGAACATGTATTGTGAGTATAACACACAGTCAACACAAACATCTGGAGCACAAATATAACTCAGTCGTAACACAGTTTCAAAGGTTGTTGTGGTGTTGTTATTAAGCTCAACACCACAACAACAGTCAGGCAACAAAGAGTACACCGGATGTTTACACGTTCTGTTATACTGACAGATGACAGTCACTCCGAAGAATAGATTTGCTAACTCTAGATTTCCTTTATATCACTACTGTAGTTAGAACGGAATATAAACTTGTAGTTCTTTTCCCGTTCACTAAATCCTGCATTAGAGAATCTTGCATGTCTTAAAAGTAAAAAAATAAATAAATACTGTATAAACGGGAGGGCGTTAGACCAACAACTTACACTAGATAATAACACTGTTTAATTCAATAGTCTAGTCACTAACCTTACACCAATCAACTTCGCCCTTCACCTGAGGCTTTGATCTTTGACACTGAGAATTTTGAGTTCCGTGTTCTGTACTTTGTCTAGCGATAATTACAGTCAGGTGAAGATTTATAAGCCATACCCCGGATAAGGAAAACAAGGAAAACATTACAGACATCTAGACGGACAAACATGATACGTCCAAATTATTTCCAAACTAGAAGAGGGATGAGAGAGTGCGCGTGAACGTAGAGGAACGTGTAGTGTAGTGTAGTGTGAGGATGGTGTTGTGGGGAGGGTGTCTACATAAGCCTCTCCTGGAGCGGGTTAATGGGGACGGTAAACTCAATAGAAATAAATTAGTCTCATCTATCACGGTCTGAAGGCAGGATATACCGGCAGGTCTCTCATAACTCCCCAAAGAAGCTTCTCACCTGACATTACCTGACGCTAGTTTTACCAATATAAGAAGCTAATTAAAGGTGACTATCTGTTCCTACACATCAATTACCAACAGCTTAAGCTTCAGTACCTGCTACAATATTTCTCCCTAACCTACTGTAGTCTGTCTCTCTCACAGGATATATTCTACAGCATCACTTCTTAACCTTCCTGTATCATGCTGAAATGCCTTAGTGTCAGAGGTATAATGCTTACTAACTCTAAGTAGTGTTAACAATTATGCTAAATATATATATATATATATATATATATATATATATATATATATATATATATATATATATATATATATATATATATATATATATATATATATATATATATATATATATATATGTATATATATATTAAACTGACGTGTTAGAAAACTTATTTGAGTCTTTGTTAAGTTATCTGTAGAAAAATATGAAAATAAGAGAAGAGAAAATGGCATTCATTTATGCAGTTTTATCATCAGTTTTCTCCAGTAATTATTCTTCCTGAAGTTCTAAATATATATATGTATGTTTTATAAGTTATAATAATAATGCTCCTCTTTGCCTATTTATATAGTGTGTTTATATGAAAAGAACTTGGCGTTTGAATACTTCCCTCCACGACAGATGTGCTAGGAAATAGGTTTAAGGACTTCTTAGTGCCATGCCATTTACGTGTAACATACCGCTACCCCATCTCGCGTGGCTTACACACACACACACACACACTTATTACTACAGCTATTACAACTATTATTACTACTCTTTTTTTTTTAAACGTGGCCTCCATCCTCCCCCAATAGCCACACCTTCGCCGCCATTTTATTACCTTAAAATTAACTATCCTGATACATAAGTAGCTACCCTGGCTACCACAACTACGACTATTATTACTACTACTATTAACTACAACTATTATTAATGCGATAAGGCTCCTGAGACCCCATCTTGGTCTATCATGTGCTTTACAATTTCGCATATAACAATAATAACATTCCAACTTTTGTTTAAAATTTATTTCTCGTTTCTTTCCATATTCTCCTTCCTCATCATTTATCTCATCCATCTTTCTTTATCTTACACCCCAATTCTTCTCTTTTACGTTCTTAGTCCCTTTATCTTCTCTCAAGGACTCGTTCCTCCTACAGGGTGACTCAGGAGGCCCACTTCAGTGTAATATGAGGGACGGCCGCTGGTACCTGGCGGGTGTCACCTCCTTCGGCTCCGGGTGCGCTAAGCCAGGTTTCCCAGATGTCTACACCCGCATCACTTACTACCTCCCCTGGATCAAGCAACAGATGAGGATATTTAGATGATCCACGTTTCATACTAGAAGAAATACTAGTTCTAGATGAGGCACTAGAGCCTTGGGAGGAGGAGGAGGAGGAGTGTACTGAAGAAACCTTTTAGTGTCTTCAGAAAACAAATATTATGGATCTCATTATTTTTGGCTCTCACTGTTCAGTATAGTACACTGAGTCATGACAACAGAGGAGTATATAGAGTTGATGTAACCTCTAACATAGATCAAATACTTCAGATAATATTTCTTATTTTTTCTAAACATTTGTAAACATTGTCAAGACCTTATTGGTGGTTAACTTTAAAGTATCATGAGGGTCAAATGTTATGGGTCTCTTATGTTGGATGACTTGACTACTCCTCGTGTGTCAGGCAGGAGTCTCACTTATAGATAGTCTACAGCACTATCACCATAACTCAGTACAGGTGTGCGTCATCACCTATCTGTAGAGTAGTTAGTAAGTGTGGAGCAGGAGTCTAGTACTGTAGTCTTGACTGTAGGTGATGATGTATATGTTACTACAGTCTACAGTTGTGTGTCTTGCTGTGTTATTATGTCACCGCGTTGTTATGATATCATTAAGTTGTGCTATTATTCCTCTTAGTTATTGTCTTTATGTTCTTGTGTAGTTGTTATGATTCATTTCGTTTAGATTTAATAATCAGAGAACTAGTAACAATGTCATTAAGGAACCAATAACTTGTTTAACTGCTAAAGATAGCATAATGATTCTATTAAAGCAAGGTGCGATGATTCAGACTAAAAGATTCGGGATACTATGATTCGTCACTAGTCACGCCCATAGGATGTGAATCCTTGGTGAAATGTTGATCTCCGCGGCAAAAGGACCACATGGCCGTGCTTGTCTCCTCTCCAGATTAATGTACAAAATATTCAGTAATAGCTTAGCAAATATGACACGAACTATTGGTGTTCACTTCTGTGAGGATGTACTGTATGTATACATCTGGAATATGGAAGCTGGGGATGTGGCAACATAAATTCGTCCATCTCCTCACAACACACTGGTCGTGATGTGTCACTTCTGTCTTCGTAAGAATTACTGCAGCACTTTAACGTTCTCACGTCTTAACTCACAGAGTTTTTTACCATAAACAATAAACAAAAATAAATAACTAAAGTAGTCCGGAACTTTGACGTGAGAGAACCACTGGCTCTGTTAGCATCTTTTGGATATAGAGAACCTTAATCCGGAGTCATAACCTAGCACATTAACAGGCTCTGGCGGAGTCCACTTCGTGAGGGAGCCTTGAGGGGCCAGTGACCAAATTTTTGTAAGCGACACACAATAATGACGGTCTGTCTTCGCTTGAGGAGAGATATAATGTTTCTCTACATTAGCCTCGCTACTTCATATGAATGAGATAACTTGTCCAATAAATTTTTTGCGGATTAAGGGGCTTCTACAGAAAGCTCTGAGCCATGGGTGTTAATCCTAAGTCACATTAGTTCCTTCTGTACAAAAAATAAGAATAGTGTAATAGGTTTTAGATACGGTATGATGTATTTTCAGACGCTACCTACAACATACCTCATTAATGCTTTGATGGAAGGATGCATAACATTTTAATTTCACCTTTAGCATACAGCATAATCATCTCTATTATGTTTTAGCTCTCAAACAGTCATTATACTAGAGTGAGGTCACCAGTTAGTTAATTAATACTATGACTGTTTTGTCGCTAGTCAGAGAAACCTACTAACACGTAGATATTCCCTTTGGAAGTGTAACTAAGCTCCGGCTCTCTCCCGCATCCAAAGGTCTTCCCATTTAATATAATCAAACATGAAAATATTTTGCATTCATTTTCGCAATTCACAAGAAATTATCCCTTTAGCTTTATATATCTTCAGTGAAAGTTTAAAACGTAATAAATTAATACTGACGTTGATTGACTATAGAAAAAGATGTTTGAATGCGTGGGGGAACACTTGATGCATTAGTGCCAAGGTTTTATTATTTACACTGTTTGAAATAATATATTATTACCTCTTTATGACAAACAGTCTTACAAAACACAGTTAATCACTACGTTAGTTAAAGAAGGTCAGGCTAGACTACCACGTAAAGAAAAGGTAGCAGCAACAGTAGGCAGAGTGTGGTAGTGTTAGTAGGAAAAGGAATATACCAACACCACAGTCTAGCACCACACCAGAGCACCAGTAATAACTAGATACAGATTCAGATGTGTATTATTAACTCACGAGAAGTCACATTTATACCGAAATCCAATCAAGACATTTTACACACTGAGTTGGAGAGAGAGAGAGAGAGAGAGAGAGAGAGAGAGATTTAACTATCCTACTGAGCCTGTTCTGTAGTAAATGACTCTAGACAAACATGAGTTGTCTCCATAGTGCCATCTGGGTGCCTCTAAACTGCAAAAAAAAGTGAAAATAGTAAGAGAAAAAGAGAAACAGCAGGAAAAAATAATATACTGTTATTATCAAATGAGGTGGAATTAGCTCTTCGTGGCCTTAAGGTGACCAGTGTCCACCAAGTCATGATTATAAATATATATGAAAATTTAACCATAAGTCTATAATTAATGTCATGTTACGTCTCTCTATTAGTGATGGAGTGAGAAGATAATTTTTTTTTTATTTTAGATGAGAATTATTACTTCTAGTCTTATGGTGAAGTAAGTGATGTCAAGAGTGAGTGAGTGAGTGAGTGTTGAGTCATGATTCATCCGATTTATGGTCATGGGATATGGTTGTTGAGGGCAGTGAACTTTTTCTGTGGTGTCTGTTATCAAAGCCATGGTTCGTTCTCATTCCTCTGATTTCTCACACACACGAATTCCTTGAATGAAGCTGTAAGAGGTTATGAGTGTGTTGACGGGGTGCTCATGTTGATAGTGTTGTGATGTGTATTGTGGAGGTTATCGTGTGAGCCGCTGAGGCAGACTAGTGTGTCGTGTGTCAGCCTCCAGGAAATGTCTTTCAGTGTTGTCTTATAAAAGTGTATTTTTGTACCAATATTTTTTATATACAATCACAATATAATATCAGTTTTATTTACCCTCTATATGAGTCATGCATCAATGTACTATTACTCTCAGTCACCATATTGTTTGGGACACCACCCTGAGTTACAGTGCAGTACAACACAGTACAGTACTCTAAAATATAACAAAATATAGTCAAATGACCGTAATACATGGTCCCAGTGGTTCAATTAAGGTAAAGGCCAACAACAGAGCTTGGGGTTTTAGCATGTCAACGTTGTTAGATCTCTTTAAAGCGCTCAAACATGACCCAGAAACTGACCATGAACATATCATGTTTCCTTTATAAAGAATATATGGATCAAGTATTGAACTTTATTACGATTGTAGAGGATCATGAAGACACGATACATAAGTTAGACAAGCAATAAGACGAACTCACACAACGACTCTCAGAACTCATGGAATCACTGAAGAAAAGTGAAAACTAGCGCTCTTAAATGGTAAAATTAGTCTACAGTCTTGACAAAACGTATATAATGGTGATTTAAGACTTATGGGTAGAGCGTAATTGGCGTTTTAAATTTTCTAAATATATTCAATTACTTCAAAGGTCATTAATTTACAAGAAATAATATCCAAGTCAATGCTCGCGGTAGTTAAGACCGACAATATGGCAACTGGGGTTAACGTAACACAAAATCTTCAAGAACAACTGTGAAGAAGATAAATGAAACCGAGTCAACTAACCCTCAAGGCTCACATTTCGAATAAGACAATATTAGAAACTGGGATATATAAGCGTTGGTACACTAATGGGGGGACACAAGAAATCAGACATAATTGGGGTTAGCGAGTCATGGGGCTGTGAGGAAGTATCGCCTCAGTGTTCACCTCGGAGACTGTATCCCTGAGGGGTGGGGAACGAATTTAGAAACATGATAATCATAGATGACGTAATAAATAAAGAATACCAACCTAAAATAATTCACAGCTCATGGAGTGGATAGAACACAGACCTTATTGATAAAGGAGACAGCAAGCGAGATTTTCTCTACACTAAGATAACTGTTCATATAGAGACTGTAAATCAGTCAAAATACGCTACTTCACCTCAGTTATCCAGAGAGATTAGAACGCCTGCAGTTGCCGAACTTATAGTATAGACGGGCAGTACTTCAGAGGGTATTACTCAGGGTCACAGCTTAAAGTTGAAGAAGCCACAAGTTCAGAAAATTGAAAAGGTAAACAATTTTGAAGTGAAAGTTGTGACCTCTTGGAATAATCTGCCGGAGTGTTGTGACGGTACCGAGTGTGAGATCATTAAAGACCAGACTTGATGAACATTGGCGCAGGTACAGATACATTCTGGAGCCAGTACATACACCCAGTACTTGTCAAAAGTGTGTAAAAGAGACGTAACCGATCATACAAGCAACTAACAGGCCGATCAGTGGCTATTTAGATAAAATTATACGAGTTACCCTTCAAAAATTACGTTCTTTGAAAGAGATATTTTGTACACAGAAAACGTATCTAATTAACCAGTAACGAATGGAGTTTGGAATGTTTTTATACTACAACACATCCCAGAATATAACTGTAACTGAACAATAGAACACTCGTACAGTAGTATATGAACAATAGAACACTCGTACAGTAATATATGAACAATAGAACACTCGTACAGTAGTATATGAACAATAGAACACTCGTACAGTAATATATGAACAATAGAACACTCGTACAGTAATATATGAACAATAGAACACTCGTACAGTAATATATGAGCAATAGAACACTAGTATTATTAATGTCTGAACACAAAACAGACCGCTCTTACTTCTAACACCTGATGACAATGTCCGATTTGTATCCAAGTTCAGGTTTATATTGAGAGGATTTTTAGATAAATTTCCGACGAGTAGAAAGAAATTATTTTCCAGGTTTGGTTATATTACAATATATCTGGTTATATACGGTTTAGATATATTAATGTATGTCTGGTTTATATTAGATTTGGCTATGCTAGGTTTAATTATTATACAAGGTTTGGTTATACTGTTTGGTTATATTAGGATCCATTATTTAAGGTTTAGTTAAATAAAGTTTGACTATTCATGATTTGGTTATACTTCTAGGTTTCTTTACGTTACGTTCTATTATACCAAGTTTGGTTATACAATGTTTATTACGCAAATTTGGTTATATCAAGGGTTTGGTTACCTTTTACGATAGATCATGGATACAGAATTTTGTTTTGTCCTCAGTGATCGTCGCCACAATACATTTACTGTAGTATTCACCTTGTAACGCACTCATGGCGGAGGTGTGGCTCGGGTACTAGGTCCTACAGAGTTCCCGGGGCTTCTGTACCACCACCGCTGTACAGATGACACTGGGTTGGTAAATCGTCCCGTCGTGATGGTTTTTCTACAGTGTCGACCATACTTGTAATGAAGTATTATATTACTGGTAACACTGGCACTGCCGGCAGCTGGTTTTCACATCTCTTTTATGTTATTATGAAACAACTTCATTACCAGCACTTAACAATAATTACATGTAATACGTAAACAGTATGACACGTAATTGGCCAAGAGATCAAATGAAGAGAAAGGTGTTGTCAGCCAGGTTAATCACTTCGAATGGAACTGGAAGCATTAACCTTAATTCGAAGAAATTACAGATTACACCAATCACTTAAGGTACCTTACTTATATCTGAAACTGACCAATCACAGGACAGCAGACTTGGGAGCTGATAAAGACAGGCAGACAACCCTGACGACGAACCTGACAATGAAATTGATAGAAAAAATAGTCAACAAAACTGATCAGAATATTTAATATATGTGTAACAGTATATATATATGTGATCATGTATAAATACGGTATTGATCTCAAAATCCCAGGGTGTAGCTGAGCACAGATGGATCCCAGTGAGGATGTAGACGGCCGACATGTGTGTGATTGATGCTAAATAGACCTGTCTTTTCAGTTAATTAATCCAGAAAATCTAATACCTGGCTCAGCCGTTCCCTACCTACACTTTGAGGCCCAAACGGCGGCAACTGGAGCATGGAGGTTCACGAGTGTTACTACTGTTTAACTTGGAGCGCTCGACGACCGTCACGTGTTCCATCATAGCCCCGTGACCCGGGATCTGCCGTGTTCAGTCTCCAACTCACTCGTGTGTCCTCAGGCGTGCTTGGCTATACACCGGAATTTCAGGAAAAATAACTTGTTTATAACCTAAGCACATCTCCTTGTACCACTCGTGAGCAACCATTGACTTGCCATATCAACTCCTCCACCTCCTCTTACAAGAGCTCGGGAAGGAGGAGGGGGGGGGGGGGTCACTCGGAAGAATTATATACATTCATAATACACTTATAGATCTTACCCAACAACCGGTATCATTGTTTTATCTCTGAACCAAATACAGTGCTCAGGAACATACCAGATGTTGGCATACCTGGCTTGACGTCATATATAAACAAGTGACAAATCAGGACAAGTTTTACAACCATTTGGATCAGATCGACTCAAGAGGCAACAGCTCCTATGCTTACCGAGAGCAGCAGAGTAGCTCACAATTCGACCTCGGGGTAATTTTTCACCATCCAGCTCATCTCAAAGTAATTACTGCAGGAAGTCTCCCACACAGTACCAGGAACTTATTAACAATAAAGTAGGTCACCCGAGGAAGATACGTTAAGAAAGGAATAATAACAAGTCAAATTATACATATTAAATACGAACAGTTAATTAGGAGAAAATCTCCGTCAGTTTCCTCCTGTGATACCGACCTGACCAACAACTACACCACAGTCCCTTGAGGCGGCAGCTCTGGCCTGGTGGGAAACAGGTAAATAACGTAACTGC